TAGATGAAAGTTTTATTCAGCTTGGATTTGCATAAAGAACTCTAGAAATCAATAAGACTGAATTGATTCTTGCTTTCCCTCACCAATCTTCTCATACACCAGATTCATCTGAACCAGCAAATGTCACTGCCTTTGGCCAAGTAGCTCTCTGCAGAAACCTGGAAGACATCTTTGACACCTGTTTCTCCTTCCCTCTCACATCCAATCCCGTCACCAAGTCCTGTCAATTCTACTTCCATAGTGTGTCAAACGTAATCCTTGCTATTTTCGCTGTGCTCATTCTGACAGGAATTACTTAATTTTCTTCCAAAGACTAGTCTCCCAACTCAACTACCGAATTCTCTCTCACACTTCTGTTATTCCATTCTCCTCAGCAGCCAGAGTGAGTCATTAAAATACAGTCTGATCATATCAGTCCCTTGCCTAAAATACTTCAATAGCTTTTTTCCTGTTTATGATAAAGTCTACAATCTTTAACATGGCATCAGAAGCCCTGCCTGATCTGCCTCTACTGTTCTATACATAAGCTCTCTTATGTTTTTGTTTTCTTTTTTTTATTGCATGCAACAGAAACTGAATCTAATTAGTTTCTAGATACAGATACAGGAGACTATCAAGGAAAAGCTGAGCACACAAGACTCAGGGAGGTAAAGAAACCAAGTCCTCCCCCAGGAACCTCTGCAGCAGCAGGTGGATTTGCCTCACTCGAGTGCTGACATCGATGTGATTAGTTTTCTCTCTTAAATGTGCCAAATGACCAGGAGAAAGAATCTGATTGGCTTGGCTTCTGTCAGACTTTCACCCCTGGATCTATCTATCCCTGAATCTATCTCCACAAAAGCAGGTCTCTCTTGTTTATTACCATATTACATGTGCCTGGCATAGAGTAGGGGCTCATTAAATATTGAACTAGTTTATGTCCACCTAATTGAATAAAGGAATTGGCCATGGCCAGAAGATAGAGACAATTGATACAGACACAGCTGATGGGGGCTCACACTGGGGTGTGGAGTCCGTTTCCATGGTTGAGGGTGAGGCGTCCACCTCAGGAGATAACCTCTACATGTGCTCTTCAGCCTCACCTTGCTCTACTTTCCCCTCGCACCAGGAGCCTTTGGCCTTCTTTCATCCCTCGAAACTGCCAAGCTCTTTCCAAACTCAGAGTCTTTGCATATGCTATTCCCTGTGCCAGATATGTTCTTCTCCACTGTGCTGGTTATATATTTATTGCCTCTCAGCTCCAAATTTGTCCTTTTTTGTGAAAAAATATATGAGCCCTTTACATAATTTTTGTCAGCTGATAAATTAAACTTTGTCAGTAGAGGGAGCTAGAGAGACATTGCAGGAGACAAAAGGTTTTCCTTCCTGGTTCTGTGCTTGGCAGGCTTCTGCAGCAAGGCCTGCAGCTTCTCCTGGTGCCCATCTTGGGCAGTTTTGTAGCACAGTGCCTCCTGTGAGATACCTCACCGTAAGCAGCTTTCCCAGCACCTTGGAGGGCAGATTTCTAGCAAGTCCCAGAGGGTAGAGTTCCAGCAAGTTCCACTGGTGTGAACTACTCTACTAGCCAGCTACCCACAGACAGAAATTCTCCAACAAGGTCTAGGTCTCTATCCCAGGAGTAATGACTGCCCATTATCTCTGCTATTCCTCTATTCTTACTTCTTACTAGCCAATCCATTGTGACTTCAATCCCGTTAATAATTCTTTTGTTTTGGCGGTGCCTCGCGGCATGCAGGATCTTAGTTCCTCAACCAAGATCGAACCCACACCTCCTGCAGTGGAAGGGCGGATTCTTAACCACTGGACCACCAGGGAAGTCCCTGTTAATAATTCTTTATATTAAACTTTCCGTGTTCAAATGACCATGTAGCTTCTTTCTCTTGATTGGACATAGACTGGTATGCACCCCTTCTCTTCACCTGTCTAATTTTATTTATCCTTTAGGTGATAATATCATTTCCTCTGAGAAGACTTCTCTGATATCTCAAACCAAATTATCCCTTTTCTTTTCCTTCATAACATCTTCCACAGTTTTAAAATTATGCATTCATTTGTGTAATTATTATGTCTCTGTCTTCTCCCACTAGGTAACAGGCTCCAGGAGGGTAGTGATCATGTTTATTTTGTCTACTGCCATAAATCCAGTGCCTATTACAGTGCCTAACCCAATAATGGGTCATTAAATGAAAAAGACCTCATTTATTGAGGTCCTGTTACATTCAAGTCACTGGTGGCAACTAAAAAAAAAAAAATAGAACTCAATCCCTGTTCACAGGGGGTTGACAAATTTATATGAAAGAATAAGACCCACACAAAAAATGTAAAGCAGTAAAGGGAAGGTTTCAAAAGAATGGTACAAGTTGTAAGTACGAGTAATTCAGAGGCAATCAAGAATTTATTCTTAGAAAGACTTTGTATTTTGTGGGGGCTTCCCTGGTGGCACAGTGGTTGAGAATCCGCCTGCCAATGCAGGGGACACGGACTCAATCTCTGGCCTAGGAGGATCCCACATGCCGCAGAGTGGCTGGGCCCGTGCGCCACAACAGATGAGCCTGGGCTCTGGAGTCCACGAGCCACAGCTGCTGAGCCTGCATGCCACAACTACTGAAGCACGTGTGCCTAGAGCCCGTGCTCTCCAACGGGAGAAGACACGACAGTGAGAAGCTCATGCACGGCAACGGAGACCCAACACAGCCAAAAAACAAACAAATTAATTAATTTAAAAAAAAAGACTTGTATTTTTTATAAAATCCCTAGAAATTAATTTCTTCTTAGCTAATTGGATTTTATCTGTTATATATCAATTGGGAGGGAAATGGTCCAAATGAGATCAATTATTTATTTTAGAAGGTACTTTTTGGTAGGTTCATAATTAATTTCAATGAGTGTTTAAAATCTAGCATTATATTTGTATTTGTTCTATGCATTGTAGCTTTCCTAAAGTAGAAATAATTAACTATAAAATTGGAGAAATTACTCACATTTCCTCTTTTCTAGGACTGGGTTTCTGGCTTTAAGCCCTTTCTTCAGTGTGCATTGGTGAGGGTCGGCTGTTAGCTGTTTATATCTATGGTGAGGGTCTTCTACACATGCTTACTTTGGTATGATTTTGGACAAATCACAGTATCACGTATTCTAGGATTTGGAGCAGTTAATAGTTAAATTCTGTCCAGTTTCTTCACCCGGAGATGAGGGGCTGTACTATATGTTCTCAGATCCCTTCCAATTCTCTCTGAAGACATGCACACACTTACTGTAAGTTGAGCAATAATTCCCAGTGTCAGGTATGTTTCCCGCTGAAAGTCCATGGTTGTTCAATGAATCTCTGGAATTGTAAATTTTATTTAATACATATACTTAGTGAGGTTTGGCATTTTGAGATGTCAAATGCTTATAAGAATTTTGATTCTTTAGCCCACATTGATCACATAATGTAGCCTTCCTGGTCTTCAGCTTCCTGATTAGAGAGTAATATATTGACAAGATAACATGAAATTTTTGTTTAATAAACTTTTCCTGAGTATTTATTACGTATCAGGCACTGTAGGAATCCCTGAGGATACAAAATTAATACCTGATTCCTGCTCCCTATGTTTAGGGAGAATTGAAGGAAGAAGAAACTGGTGTTACAAAGGTCAGCTAGAAAGCCATTGTGGTCAATTACACTATTTCCTTATGTCAACTGCAAAAAAGTGCACAACGTGAGAGTTGTGAGTTAAGTTTTATTTGGGGCCTCATGAGGACTATAGCCTGGACTACAGATAGCTCTGAGGAACTGTCAGTGTATATATGATTTTAGTGAAGGGGGATATGTGCAGTCAAGTACACATTTTGGCAGAAGGTTGCTGCTAGTCACGAGGAGCAGATGTCTCCATTAATGATTTTACTGGTTTTCTAGAAATGAGAAGACACAAGAAATTGGGCTCACAAAACCTTCTCCTGAAAATATCTAACTATCTGAAGGTCTGTTCTGCAGTTTTTCCCAGAGTACAGTGTGCCTCGTTTCTGATCTCTACCCTGAACTCCTTTCAGAGTGTGTTGAAGGTCAGCGACTACAGTGGCTAGTGACTTCATTCCTGTAGAATGGCAACAGATGACAAGCGACAACTTTTAGTTGGCACCTATTTTTAGTATTTTCTATTCAATAAAAAACTATCTTTCATAAGAAAGAAGATAGGATGGAGATTATTCAAGATATACTGTGTCAAATTGAAAAATGAAAAAATGAGTTAAAGATTTGTTTGACCAGAGGCAAGAAAATAGGGACTGCAAAGTGGAAGTTAGACTCCTGAGTGCTTTGAAACTCACAGTTGAGAGGATGAACTTTTCACACGAAGGGCTTTAAGACATGGTCTTCAGATGTATGGCAATAGAAATTTTTGTAAATGCAAAATTTTTATACTATTGGACGTGAGATGATGATGAATATGTTAAATGTGAGCTGGACAAAGCAGACCAGAAATAAAACAAACCCAGCTGCTAAAATTAAACTTTAAAAAAGCGACCCTCAACCGCTTGGACTGGGAATTTCCACCAGTGTTTGGAGGTCCCCACCTAGACGCACAGTAACCTCTTAGAGACTTGGATGTTCTCCAGGAGAGCCAGTCCTTTTTTTTTTTTTTTCTTTAACCAGAGAAGGAATGATTAGTTGCAGCAAGGAGGGAGAATACCAGGGATCTTTCCCAAAGCAGTGTCTCCCAGGCTTTGCATATTTTAGGCAACCAAAACCAGACAGTCCTATTTTCAGACTTTCCTGTCTGCTCTGTTGACTGCGGCTGCAGCCCTGGTCACAGGGCAGACACCAGCCAGACACTTCGGCACTCTCTAGTCAGAGCCCCCGCCAAGCCCCCTCCCACCCGCACCCAGAGATCTGGCTTCTCATTGGATCAGCGTGGGGACATGGGCGGCTTCCGATTGGTTTAGAGGAGGGGAGGTGCGTCCTGACGTCACGCCCGCCCGAAAAAGTCGGCCTGCTGCTCAGGGTTCTGGAGAGAGAATTCCGAGAAGAAAATAACCCGGAACAACCTGTGAGGGCCTGAGCCTGCCCTCTTTTGGAGCTGGGGTCCCCTCCCACCTATCAGGAGAGCTCCACCCCCCCACTCCCCGCCAGCGCCGGGGTATCAGGTGACCTCAGGCCGGCACAGTCACGTGACTAGGCGCGCCCGCCCGTTGTGGCCATGGCGGCCTCAGGCTCCGGTGTGGTGAGGCGAGTGGAGGAGCTCGGGGACCTGGCTCAGGCCCACATACAACAACTTAGCGAAGCCGCCGGCGAAGATGGTGAGGGAGCCGAGGAGAGGGAGGGAGGTGGGCGGGCGGATGGTTGTTCAGAGCTGGCGGTCGACGGCCGTAGGGGCTGAGGCTGCGGCCTGTTGTCCGTGTGGATCCCAGGCCAGGACTGCCGAAGGTGTAGCCCTTCTGGCCCGCGCTGCGGGGTCGCTAGTCCACCTCCAAGAACTCACAACGCCTAAAGGCAAGGCGTTTGCTTCCAGACCCCATTTTTCATAACCCGTGAAAAGCGCTGAAATCCCAGTCATATTAGTGCTGCTTGTCTTTAACTGTGTCGGTAGCAACTGGGAAAAGGGCAAGATCTGGATGGAAGTACACGTGGAAGTTTAAATGAGTTGTTAAAGTTGGATGATGGTACGCAAATAAGTAATGGTTTTGCGTGTAGTGGAGATAGCTAGGCGTGTGTAACAGTTCGACTTTTTCATTGCTTCGTTGTGAATTTCTGTGTTATGTTTTGGATTCTAAACTCAGCTGTAAACAACACAGAAGAGATTTACATTGGTATAATTTCGACGATTCTCTCACATTCATCACCTCAGGTCTCACAAGGGCCCTGTCAGTACTAGAATACTTTCTTGGAAATGTCTGAGCGGTTTCCTTTGAAAAACTGACGGAGAATTACATGGACTTTTGTTCTCTTTCAATACTTACCAGCTGCCTCTACGTTTCTACATTATTTCCTTTTGAGTTTTGCACCTTTACTACAGATAGACAGTTTTAAAAATTCTTGTGGACTGTCTCATTGTCATCGAACTCATAGGAAAATAGTAGTGGAACGTTTTCCCAAGCGATTGAGTAGTTGGTGAATTTATTGAATAGGGTCCATGATAAAATGGCTCTAGTTCCAGTGAAGATTATTTGCTGGATTTTCTTTTCTTAGGGGTATGTTCTTAAAAACCCACAGACTACCCTGAGCTGTTTTCTTTTTTGGTTTGTGGTAAGTGAATCACATGACTAGTTAGTTCATGGACAGTAGTAGCTGTACCTGGAAGTGTATCTAAGTTACTTCTAAGTAAGCTATTCAGTGATCTCCACCCCATTCCAACTCCATTAGAATCAGTCTAAAGAGATCAAAGAATGTATGCTATTCACTTACCATTGAAACCAAAAGCCATTGTCATTTTCCAATGGACGAGTTCTTTAATCCAGTCTAGAATGAGGACTGAAAATTAAAGTGGTATATATTCTTGTTTGGAGGCTTTAAAGTTCTGAAGTGTACTGGAATTAAAATAATAGTGGTCCACGTAATGAGCTATTCATCAGTATTACTAGCAAGATTTTCTTATATTTATGAAGTTTAATTAAAACATGGTTGCATGTATTTGAATTGAACTTGTATTTTCCCATAGCACAAAAATAATATGCACCTAAAATTTGTCCTTTAATGATATTTATATTAGGTTATAGGGATTGATAGTTCCTGTTGTCTTTAAATTAGATCAGATACAACCAGACACTAGTCCATCTAAGAATACTCTCCTTTTTACCTCTGGTCAATTTTTGTTCATTTATTTCTCATTGTACAAGCATAGTATGTTTACTTTATGGAAATATACCATGAGAGGGACCTTTTCCAGGGACTATGTAAGAATCACTTGTGTTTGCCTTGTCAGTCACTACCTTGAATGGTTAGGAAAAATACTACATTTCATAAAAATTTTCTAAAATTGTGAGCCATTATCCCTCCACCTCTGTAATTATGTCATGAATTCATATGAGATACTCCTTCAGCAGCGGTTCAGTGAACTAAGTGCAAGTCTTTACATTTAAAATAATCCTGCAAATTAAGAAGAAAATATCAACTCAGTGTTTTAAGAAGTACCTAAGGAGTACCATGTTTCATACAATTTAGTTCACAATAGAATTTTTTTTCTGAGCTGTGTGGATGATACTTCTGGGCTGAGGAGAGATAGGAGGGCAGTGATAAAGAAGTAGTTTTCAATTTAGGTGAATAGTGGACCTTAAAGTGTTCAGAATCTGGTTTAGATACAGGTTAGGCTTTACCAGGGAAAACTTGAAGTCATCATATTATTGCCAACAGATGCAGCTTAAGCTGGTGGTACTTTTGTTCCAACGCTGAGCAGCTTACGTACCTGTGTAGGTGCTGAGGCTGGATCGGATGGACCCTCACCAAGTGCTACATTTTCTGTCCATTTGCCAGTGAGGGGAAAAGGATATATATTTCAGGAGGAAGCCACAGAGGGGCATACTTAGGAACTTAAGCGTCTTGATGGTGGGCATATTTAAATTTGACTACGTGAGATGATGCAGAAGTGTGGATGGCACCTTGGTATGGACACTTTATAGGTTAGGGAGGAAAAATCCATAAGAAAAAGTGAAAACATCGAAGCAAAGAGAATATGACATAAGAGAAAAGGAAGAAATTAGACCATGTAGAGGGGAAGTGAGGGGGAGTTGTTTTTAGAGGGTATATCAGAAGTATTTAGTTTAATTTTGTCTAGGTTTTGAAGGCATAAGTAATTTGTCCCATTCCTAGGTTTTTAAAGGACTAAAATATTCAGGTAGTTTGTGTAATTTTAATTGTAACAGCTATTTGCATACATAAATACATAAACACAATTACAAAGTTATAATTGCTCAGAGTGCTTACATTTTATGAGGCATTTGATTTAATCAATCATGTTATTTTTTGGAGAATATATTTATGAAGTTATAAGTTAGTGGAAGTCCTTTCTGTAGATTTATGTATATTATTTGTACTATTCCAATACAGGTTTTAAATTTATTGCTTAAACATTTTGAGTATGTCAACATCATAAAAGAAGCATTATGAAAATACAGATTGCACTTAAGAAATGGCAGCTGAACCTAGAAAGTTTTCAGTCCAGCTTTCAAGAATAAATTTCCATGATACATTTAAGTAGGATTAGGCATTATGATGTACTTCATGTTTTACGAAAGATATTATTACCATGCTGTAATAATTTCATTTCATCATTTTAGATATGTAACTTTTTTCATTTAAATGACACTCTGAAACTATGTGAAGTAATCATGGGTTTTTTTTGAAGAAAAATTAAGTCTTATTTATTTTTAAAACCAAACCACTAGGAAAATATATCACAGTCTTGAAACAGCAAACAGACATGCTGTATTATCATTTCAAGTAATAAGTTGGTAAAAACACAGCAACGTCCTTAATAAAATGATAAGGTGCCAGAACTGGGGCAAGAACAACGCAGGTCGCAAAAGTGGTATCTGGTAACAGAGGGCTGTCCCTTTTTTTGCCCTAAAGGAGTCACAGCTCGCCCCTGAGTTGCTTACTTTTTCTTCTTTGACCTTCGTGTTGCCAGGGGATTGTCTCAACAGAGCTCTGTTATTACAGGGGGCAAAGTAAGCAATACTGGGTTTAGGCTTTCATTCTGTTATGTTTTATGAAAACAAGATTTTTTCAAGGCCAGTACTTCATAACTCTCTTAATTATGCAGCTAACAATTCCTCTTTTGCTGTTCATTCCTGAATACTAACATATAGCACAATCAAAATCCCCTTTCCCTTCAAGGGTATCACTGCAAGATTGTCTTGTCACTCAGCTGACTCTGCTGCAGACACCCTCAGGGCCCATTATGGCTGCCAGTTAGAGGGAAGGTTTGCTTCGCCTATCAGTGTGATAGCGCTTCTTATATTTTTGCAGGGTCTCCAGGCTGAAAGATGTAATGTGTGAGAATTTTAAGAAATGTGTATCCACATCTTGATGGCCAGAAATGAATATCCGCAAGGACCCTTTCAAAGTTTTTATCCAAACTACCTCTCCCAACTCTGCATCTTAAAGTAACTTCATGCCCTTGTATATAAAACAAAACCAAGCAAAACAAATCCCCAGAAGCCCCCCTTTCCCCTTCTAAATTAGTGACCTCATGGATTTTGTTTTATTTCCAGTTTGTGGAAAATGCTGTAGTGATCCTTCTGGTAAACAGGAGGTTGGCAACGAACAGAAACACCTCTCCTCACACTCCACCAGCTCATAAGCAGGTCAGATGAACCTGCCAGCCTGTTGATATCTGTGTACTAAGAGAAGCTGGTACCTTGGAGGGCTCTGGTTTGGTACAAGGGAGACTCCCTGCTGCCAGGATAAGCACTTGCCACATGAAATTCAGGCTCACAAAAACTCTCCTGTGCTATCTCTGACCCAAATTTTAGCACCAGGTTTTTTCACTTTCTAGGATTCAAACACAAAGGAACCAGTGTCCAGAGGCAAGTGACATAGGCCTTAAACTTGCTGCCATCCTTAATTTCCTCATTCATAAACTTTAGAAAACCCAAATCCGCATTCCTCTTTTTAAATAGAATCCTGCCTTCAGCCCTGATGGCCAATAGCAGACATCTGTTTCCCAATGGATGAGAGAGACTCCTTCATCTTGGTCACGGTTGGGATGAGGTTTATGTGGTCATCCACACACTTGGTCACGCAACTCTCCAGCTGCTGCTTCACCTGAAGCTCTTTACTCCCCGCCTCTATTGAATCTTTGGCTTTGTCGTTACAATGCATAGTGCACTGGGCCAGGCGGTCCTGGAACTTCTCTAGCTCGCTGGTCACCAGGGCCTGGGCTTGAGCCAGAGGTGCATGGCAGTGCTCAATGCACTGGTGCACTTGCTGCATGGACGCCTGGCTGTCCTCACAACAGCTGGCGCTGCACCGGAAAATGAGGCCCTGCATCTTCCGGATGTTCTGTCTCTCCAGACTCTTCACCATAGAGTCCACCGCCTCCTGCACCCGGAGCTGCTGCAGCTGTGCCATGATGACCCCACGCTGCTCCAGTAATCATGTTTTTATCTCTTATAGATCACTTTTTAATTCGGGCCTCTGCAGCTCTAGAAAAATTGAAACTTCTGTGTGGAGAAGACAAAGAATGTTCAAATCCATCAAATCTTCTTGAACTTTACACACAGGTACTGAAACAGATGTGGTTTCTGACGTTGAGGCAGTTTGCTTATTTAAGAGGGTTACTCCAAAATTTAGGTGCGATGAAAGCAGTTTATTCTTTGTGTTAAAAAAACTGTATGTATAAAGCATATAGACTTGAAGCTGTAAGGCAGTAAGAATCCTTAAAAAGAAGAAAAGTTTATTGGATGTGTTGATAAAAAAGGAAAAAAATCTTGCAGATAACAGTATTGCTTCCCTTTATAGATAATTAAGCAAAACTCTCAAATGGGGCTTCCCTGGTGGCACAGTGGTTGAGAATCTGCCTGCTAATTCAGGGGACACGGGTTCAAGCCCTGGTCTGGGAAGATCCCACATGCCGCGGAGCAACTAGGCCCGTGAGCCACAACTACTGAGCCTGTGCGTCTGGAGCCTGTGCTCTGTAACAAGAGAGGCCGCGATAGTGAGAGGCCCGCACACCACGATGAAGAGCGGCCACCACTTGCCACAACTAGAGAAAGCCCTCGCACAGAAACAAAGACCCAACACGGCCAAAAATAAATAAATAAATTAAAACAAAACAAAACAAAAAAACACTCATGTGCAATTTCCAAGGTGTGAAAGGTTAGTCAGAGGGAATGGAGGTTTCTATAAGGGCTCTGATTATTTTTTTTTCCCTGAAATTCACCTTTCCTTTGGATTCTCAACTTGACTACCTGTGCTTTTGTTATGCAAGTCCATAAGATTTTTCTGTTCCCCCCCTTTTTTACTTTCCTTTCAAATTCAGACCTTTCTACAGATAAGATCTGTTTTCTCAGTTTTCTCAAACACTGCTGAGGCAAGTGGACACTAAGAAACATAATTTTGAGGGACTTCCCTGGCGGTCCGGCGGTTAAGGCTCCGTGCTTCCACTGCAAGGGGAATGGGTTCGATCCCTGGTCAGGGAACTAAGATCCCGCAGGCTGTGCAGTGCAGCAAAAAAACCCCAAAACACATAATTTTATTATAGTAACATTTGTGTACCACTTTATAGTTGACAGAGTGCTTCGTATGCCCTTACTTGATTGCCAAGGGATAATAAAGATGAAGTGGTTTATAGGAAATAGAGTAAACTTAGTGAAGTTTCCAAAATGCACGTTCATAGCACTTAGGTGCCTGACACTCTGCTTTCTGTTAGGAGGTACATGGAGATGCTTTCTGCCTTCTGATGTGGTTGAATGAGCCTGTAACAACTACCCACAGCCCCCCGAGAGCTGTTACAATTTGGGAGAAATTTACCTCTCTTTTCTTTCAGAAGGTTCCTTGCTTGTCTTGTTTCTTTCACATGGGAGAGTTCTAAACATTTTAACTTATTTCTAAGAATAAGGCAAAAGAATTAGAAATATAGATTAAAATTCCCCAAACCCCTTTGGATCTTACTTATCGTTCTCAATCACCAGGTCGTTTTCCTTAGGATGATAATCTCTCCCTTCCTGGTTTAGACCTTCTACAGGAGAGCACTTAACACTTAAGTAGTGCTGTTTGCTAGGTAATGTTCGAAGTGTTTGCATATGTTAATTCATTTTACCCTCAAAGCAAGGGACTTTGAAAGGCATCTGGATCAGTTTCTTCATTTTGTCAATGAAGAAACTGGCTCCAAAACAAAGATAAAATATGACTTGTCCTTTGTTAGAACTCAGTTTCCTTAGTCTTAGTCCAGTAGATTAAACAAAGAAAAAGGATTGGGTAGTTTTAAAGTGCTGGTGCTTCATTTGAGAAACAGGTAATCCTTTGAAGATTCAGTATACAAAACTAGAGGTAGTGACCTTGTCTTGATATGGCAGGCATTTAGAAAATGTTCAGGAAGTATATATGTACAAATAGCAAAGACTATAATAATTATGCTTTTCATAATTATATTGTATATAGTTAGCTTATCTGAATTAAAACATAAATACCCATTTTACTTTTTGAGGGAAACTAGATTATCTTAATTCAGTATTTTAGAAAAATCCTGTGAAGTTTACTATAAAGTTCATCTTAGATTATATTTATAGCTAGATATTTTGACTACTTAAATACTGTGCTAGAAGATTTAAATGTCTAATAAAGTATATATATGTAAGATTAAACTATAAGAATTATTTATTCGAGTTGAAATCATTTATACTTTTTTTTCTCTTTTACTTCAGGCTATTTTGGACATGACATATTTTGAGGAGAACAAGCTAGTAGATGAAGATTTTCCTGAAGATTCTTCACAAAAAGTAAAAGAGTTGATCAGTTTTCTTTCAGAACCAGAAATTTTGGTTAAAGAAAATAACATGCATCCAAAAGTAAGTTTTGCACAACTATGAATTATGGTGGAATGCTGCTGATTACTGTTATATTACCCTTTAGAATCTGTATTTTTTTTTCTTAAATGTATCTTTGTTTTAAATTAAGATTGAAGGAGGGACATAAGAGTTGAACATTTCAGACTGATGTCACAACTCAAGTATCATATTTTTGTAAATATGTTTCAGAATGTTTGTTTGATGGAATTATATTGTAACTACAGTGCCTAGTAATTTTCTAAACATACACATTTGCTGTTTCTGCTCCCTTTACTTTTACAGATGCTGTGTTTTCTTGAAGGTCCCTAGTAACCTAATACCACATCTCTCGTCCTTTCAGTCTTCTTCTGCCTGGACATTTGTTGCCTTTCTTACCAATGATCACCCCATCCCTTGGAGGCCCTGCATGCTCCTCTTCATCTCTAAGAGGCCTTGCTCTTGCTCTTTTTCAAGCATCTCCCCTCTCTTCCAATCTGGAAACATAGGCACTCCCCAAAGATATCTCCTTAATCCTCTGATAGTCTGTAGTTTGTCTTTGCTTGACAACTTGTTTTTACTGCTGTCTCTGTTTAGATGATTCCAAGATTTTTGTCTCTAGCCCTGGCTACTCTTTCAAGCAAATAATTTCTCATCTTGAACTGTCCGCTGGCTTTCTCTACCTAGATATCTTTGTTGCTCTTTGTGTTTATCAGGGAATGCTAACTGTGGAAACAAATAATCCCAAGTTTTAAATGATACCACATAGTAAAAGTTTGATTTATTAAAATTGTTTTTGTGTATATCTTTTCATTGTTTTATTTTAGCAGTAGTAGAAATTGTTTCAAGTAACATATTTCTGAAAACTTATTTTTTCAGTCAGATTATGGAATACTTATATTTCAAATATATTAGAGAATTGGCTACTAAAATACTTGAACATCAATTTTCTAGAAATATTTGTAAATTGGAGTAGTTATTTTAATTTTCACGTAGCAATAGATTTCTATATTTCTAATTGATTCAGAGTAAGGCATTCCTGTGTAGGTTGCTAAGTAAAGAGCAAATTTTGTGAAATGAGTATTTTTTAATTGCTCAATATTTTGAAATTTAATTTTGATTTTTACAGACACGAAGTTTCTCTTTTTAGCTGTGTCTTTGTTGTATTTCAGCACTGCGATTTGCTTGGGGATGAACTCCTGGAATGTCTCTCTTGGAGACGAGGAGCCCTACTCTACATGTATTGTCATTCTCTGACCAAAAGGAGAGAATGGCTCACAAGAAAATCTAGCTTGCTTAAAAAGGTGAAAAAGCATTCCTCATACATGTTTTATTGTTGACATTTATAGGTTTCCAAAAGCTGTTTAGTACAGGATTAAGAGTAGAGGAATCAAAGGGCCTGGGTTGGCATTCCAGGCCTGTACTTACCAGCTATGTAATCTTAAACAAATTGGAATTACTGTGAAGATTAAATAAGATAACATGTAAAAGCCCTTTGTAAACTGGGAAGTTTTATATGTTTTTTTTTAAGTTCTGGATTTTTATTTTTTATTGTACAAGATAGATAATCTATATTAATTTCTAAGCATATTTTTGGCCTGAAGAAAACAAACTTGGTTGTGAGCCTCTCTCTATCAGCAGATCACTCCTAAAGATCCCACATGACCCTGCTCCTAGGAAATTGTGGCCCTCTGATTTTTCTTGACTCTTCTGACCAAATTAGTAAATCCAAAGATCCTGTCTTAATATTTGTATCACTAAGGATCCTTCCTAACTTAGGTTGATTGTACACATGGTTTATGTGAGTTTGATCATAATATTTCTAAATTGTAATAAAGTACATCCATATTTTTAACAAGTTTTTGAACACATCTTTATTATCTTTAACCTCCTCTTGCTCTGATGACATTTTTGACAAGTATATTACTGAATCATGTGTTCTTGGTTAATGATTTCTCTTTTTTTCCCATACTCTTTTACTAATTGGAGGGTTATACTTATAAAAGTTTTGGGGTAGTAGGTCCTTATATTGTAATGTAATAATCATATGATATATCTGTATATTAGCCAATATTCTCTTGAGTAAAAATATTAACATTTGAAGTTTCTGCAGTTCTGCATCTAATACTTGGATTCTTTGTCTTTGACTTTCATTTAGTACCTTGTTGATGGAATCAGTTATTTGCTACAGATGCTGAATTTTCGGTGTCCCATCCAGTTAAATGAAGGAGTTTCTTTCCAAGACCTAGACACAGCTAAATTACTGAGTGAAGGTAATGTGATCCTTTTTGTAGTTTTCTAAGTGTTTTAAAGCATTTTTAAATTTTAAGAAGTTTAGTAGATTTAACTTTGATTGAAATAAATTTCAGGTTACATTATAGACAGAAAAATAATAAAAGGGCTTTTTAAACAATTAAAAAAGTCTTCTCACGTAATATAGAGAAATACTGCTAATCTCTGCTTAGTAATTTAGGGACAGTAATATATCATGTTGCTTTTACTTACTTTGCATCCCCACAAAGCCCTGATCCAGCTCTAGGTTCAGCTAATTGTAACAGAGACTGGAGGTAACTTTTATTTTATTTTTATTTTTTAAAATTTATTTTATTTATTTATTTGGTTGCACCAGGTCTTAGTTGCAGCAGGCGGGCTCCTTAGTTGTGGCTGGCGGGCTCCTTTGTTGTGGCATGAGAACTCTTATTTGCAGCATGCATGTGGGATCTAGTTACCTGACCAGGGTTGAACCCAGGCCCTCTGTATTGTGAGCGCGGAGTCTAAACCACTGCACCACCAGGGAAGTCCTGAGACTGGAAGTAACTTTTAAACAAGGAGAAATTTACTGCTTTTTCACTTCAAAAAGGTCTAGAGCTGGTTATGGTGGCTTCATGGCATCATCAGGTTCCTATCTTTTTCCTCCATCGTCTTTCAAAGTGGAGCGCTACAGCTTCAGAAGGAGGCGAGTTATATAGAATGCATGTAAACAGTACTTGCCAGAGTTGTGCAACATGCATCCCTGTTGAGGACATTGCTTCCATTCTCAGTGTCTCAAGATGCTGCTGGAGCTCCTTCCGTCTCACCTGTGTTCCAGTCCATAGGAATGGCAAAAGGATGTTTCTTTCAGCCAGGTCTTTCTTTCATCCTTCTCAAGTTTGTTACAACACTTAGAACACTTCTACCTACATTTCACTGGCCAGAATTTAATCACATGGCTTCATATAGCTACAAGGGAATCTGGGATGTATAGCCCTTTACGTGATACATTGCCATCCCAAATAATGTCTCTTTACTAAGAAAGAAAGGAAGAATGAATATTGGGTGGTAACTGCTAGTTTCTGTCATAAACTTATATGCACTTAAAAATGTTAGGAACTGGATATAGAGCATCATTTGGGTTTTAGACTGAGGTTTGAGAGGGAAGAACCACTTACTTTTAGCGTCTCTTTTTACAAATGGAAGAACTGAGGTCCTGATATGCCTGATAAGGTCACATAGCTGGCAAGTGATGTTAGGTTCTTTGTGTAAACTTTCTTTATGCTTCATCTGAAATTTTGGGGAAATTTTGATGGGGAAAATTCAAACATGGGGAATAAGAAGAAAACTTCTTAGGGAAAATTCTGTGTTTTAATTCTATAAGTGTATTTTAATTCTTTCTTTGTTAGCTTCTATAGGCTTTTCCTTTCCATTAGAAAACATCACACAGAAAAAAAACACCATGATTTAAGAGCCATTAACATATGACTGGCTACTGTTGTCCAAAAGTTGTTACCTTCAGTTTATTCAGGCAAGTAGCTTGTCCTAAAAAAACTCGTGACTATAAGGTGCTCCTTCAGTGGGCATGATGTTTTGACAAACATGGGGTGTTTTGATTTATTTGTGGGAAGTATTTATTCCAGGTAACTAGTGAACCGATTACCTGCATTAAAAATGATCTTTCTAAAATTTCCTCACCCACATGGATTGATTTAAAAGAAAAAGCAGAGATGGGCATTAAAGCTTATTTAGAACCAAAGAAAAGAGCACAAGTCACCAATTTCCCTTATTCGCCCATTTCTAGTCATAAAGTCACATATTCTCATGGCCTAGAATTTTTTTATCACGATGCTTGTGATACTGGTGTCTTCTCTTGGATTATAATTGATTACACTCGCCTCTATCTTCCATTGCTTCTTCAACAGGGGAATCAAAGGCACAGAAAGGGTCTCTTTTTTCCAGGAAACAACAAAACAGCATCAACTCCCTAGCAGTTTTGCCACAGGCATCAGTCCTCTTTTGGTGCTGACTTCTTGCTCTCATCTAAAGCAGTTTGTTCCTCCCTACTTCATTCCTCAAGATGTAGATTAGAAGCCAGGAAGCCTACTTTTCATAGGCTAAATTACTCTTAAGGCCCTGGTGGAGTGGTTCTAATTTTTTTTTTAATTTTTTGTTAGTCAATATAAAAAACATAATTCGGAATAATTCTTAGTACTAATTAGAGAGAAAAGTTCTATGTGAATCATCAAAATATTTTTGTGGCCAGATGTTAATGATAATTTGCCTGATTTTACATAAAACTCAAAACAGTGTATACTTAGTATGATTTTTATTTCGTTTTCCAAGGTGAGATAATCATTTTTCCTTTGGTCATTACCTGTATGCCATTAAATTTTCAGCTTTTAAAAATTACCAGGTAATGTATTCAGTAAATCTTTTTATCTCATTTCTATGGTTCATTCTTCTGTGGGCCCTTATAAAAATAGCCTTGTCAGGATAACTCTGGAGTTAACTAGGTTAAAAGATTGTTCAGCTGTGCACATCCTTGGGTTATGCCCTTTTTATGCCACTGAAGAGCCCCCTTCCCAGCAGCCTTTGGCTCATTCATAGCTTAGCCCAGAACCTGGATTTCAGATGGCTTAAAGGAGCAGCTCTGAATTGACATCACTAATTGCTTGGGTAGCTTGTTTAAAAATACAGATTTCTTTTCTTTTCTTCTTTTTTTTATGCTATCTTTTTTTTAAAATTAAATTTATTTATTTATTTTTGGCTGCGTTGGGTCTTCGTTGCTTTACGCGGGCTTTCTCTAGTTGCAGCGAGCAGGAGCTACCCTTCGTTGCAGTGCTCAAGCTTCTCATTGCTCTGGCTTCTCTTGTTGTGGAGCACAGGCTCTAGGTGCGTGGGCTCAGTAGTTGTGGCTTGTGGGCTCTAGAGTGCAGGCTCAGTAGTTGTGGTGCACGGGCTTAGTTGCTCTGCGGTATGTGGTATCTTCCTGGACCAGGGCTCAAACCCTTGTCCCCTGCATTGGCAGGCAGATTCTTAACCACTTCGCCACCAGGGAAGTCCCCAAAAATACAGATTTCTGTGTATCACATTCAGGTTCTGATTTAATATGTGGAGTTCAGGAATCTATTTTTATAATCTACCGTAATTATGATGCAGTCAGATTTAGACATCAGTGCTTCTAGAGAATGCCAGTCTGGCCACCTTTTTTTTTCTATGAAGGTCATCTTTCTGCCATCACTTTTACTTAATGGGTTATTCACTCTCTTCCTCCCTGCACCCCGCACTCTCTTGATGTGTTTGCCAAGGATATAAGCAGTGCAAAGTGAAGTATTTTATTGAAAACAATGCTGATCATTAGCAGAAAAAATACCAAGGAAAATTTGTAGCAGCAAAAAGACTATAGCTACAGAGTAATGGATTCCTTGGGGGAGTAGAGAGGGAGAATGTGTAATTTTTACGTTGTTCATTTCTTCCTTTGGTATTTTAACGCAGTACAGTAGTTTAGCATAGTCTGTGGACCAGCAGCCTCACCCTAGGTCCTAGGACTTTGTTAAAAATGCAGATTCATAGACCCAATCCCATACCTGAATCTGAAAGTTTTGGAGGTGGGAGCCCAGCAATCAGCATTTGAACATGTCCTCCAGGTAATTCTAATGCAGGCTAAAGTTTGAGAACCACTCTTTAGCATATAGCTATTCATTCTCTCCTCAGAAACAGCTTTCCAAAGGATATCTGTGTACCTTGTTTAACCATCACTCCTTGTTAATATAAAGGATGAGGCTAACTTAGAGTTGGGCACAAATTGAATGCCAGCTCTCCCTTAAGCAAACACTTCTCATCTTTCCCAAGTGGCTTCACTTTGTGGGACTTACTTCAGCTCCTCCTCCTGCTTAAAAGTTAACCTTCTTTTCATTTTTGCTTCTGTCTCCTTACTCCCCTCTACCAGTCTTTTGAGGAATAATTAGGGTGTAGGATCACAAAAACGAAAAAGGATATAAATTCAGTGAAATGTCCTATCTAATATGAAATATAATTCTGCAGTGAAAATCGTTAATTTGGAAAAAACAGCAAACTATTCCTTAAGAAAACTCCATGAAATTAAGGAGGGCATGTGGAATCTTGATTTTTGCGAACTGGGGCTTAAAGAGCTTTGGTGAGTTGCACAAAGTCAATAATTTACACCCAGATCCTCTTGATTCTAGGTCTGTTTCTTTTTATATTCTAAATAACATCTAATGCTATTCCAGCTTTTTCTATGAGGTTTATGACCTTTTAACTATGAAGAAATGAAGTGAAAAGAAGTGATTATGGGTAATATGCATTGTACTTACTGAGTTGTTTTATACATAGAAAGCATAATTTATAGAGTGTAGCCCATCGTATGTTCATGAATGCAAGCCTCAGATTCTGCTCTTAATTATTTCTTTTGTTGATATAACAGTGTAATGAATCAGTTCGTCTGCTAAGCTTATTCCTTCTCTTGCTACTATTTATAAGCTGAATTGGAGGTGAGGTGAAGTGTTACCTATAGGGACAAACTCTGAGACTACCAAAAACTTGCAATAGATTCAAGATAATACAAACTGTAACAGTTTTGGAAGCTGAATTTTTCTTGTATTTTTATACCTCTAGTACTATCATAGTCATTTCTGATGAGCCGTATTAGGTGAGCAACTGAGATTATGATGCTCATTTATTTGAGGTAAACTTTTCTAGTCACACAAGTACCTGTCTAGTAGAATAGATCATTTATTTGTATTTTATGACTTGAAGAAGTTAAATAGTCATATAATTTAATAGCACTTCATGCATTTTTATTTTATGTGTTTCTTAAGAAAATTCCATGAAATAAGTAGGGCATGTGGAATCCTGATTTTTGCAAACTGAGGTTTAAAGAGCTTTAGTGAGTTATACAAAGTCGATAATTTATCCCCAGATCTTTACAATTCTAGGTCTTTTTGTTTTTATATCAAATTAATATACTTTGTGTGTCATAAATGTTTAATTATATAATCACCTTCCATAATAAGCACGCTTTGAACTTTTGATGGAAATCCTGCAATGTATTCCTTTTTCCTGGGAACATAAAGCATCTTGGATACAATTTAACATCTTTGGTAACTTAGAATCATATGGCCTCTAAGGGACATGATTATGCAGGATCATCTCTGTACACTGCTGTAGAAATATAGGAACTGTATTATTGATCCTGAGTATACCCCTAAATAAAAGCTGTGTTCATGGATGGGATTGAGGGAATCTCTGAGTACTCTGAAATTGTATGTGGAATATGGGATGTACGTTCTGGGAGAGGTTCCATCGATTTAGATTAGATTCTCAAAGAGATCCTAAAGAGAACACCAGAAAGATTAACACACTGACCTATATGATTCTTTAAAAATAATTCTTTTTTTGGGGAGGGTGGGATTGGGTCTCTTTTATAGATAAAATAGAGATAGAAGTGCCTATGGAATGAGGATTGTGTTAGTGATATTTGGCTTTTCTAAGTACAGCTGTTAAATGAGAAGGGAAAATGCTTAATGATGTAAAAGGATTTTATTAGAGTCTTAATCACCAGGGTTTCTTTTTAAATTTTTAACTTCTAATCTCTCAACTTAAATGACTTTCCCAGGAATATTTAGTGACATTCATTTGCTGGCTATGATGTACAGTGGAGAAATGTGTTATTGGGGATTGAAGCATTGTGCAGATCAACAGCCAGAAAATCATGAAGTGGATACTGGTGTTTCTGGAGCAAGCTACACTACACACAAAGAACCTTTGGATTTCCGAGAAGTAGGAGAAAAAATTTTGAAAAAGTATGTATCTGTGTGCGAAGGACCCCTGAAAGAACAAGAATGGAATACAACAAATGCAAAACAAATTTTAAACTTCTTTCAGCATCACACTAACTAGTAAGTTCATCTACTCCTTTTCAAACAGGAAAACAAAAAGGCTCAGGAAATGGAAGTTCCAGAAAAGAAGACATATTGATACTGAATTTAGGAACATTACACTACATAAAGATAGCCAGCATGGTTACCCTTTTTTAAATGCCATCACCATCTTCCACTATATATTCTTTTTATTAAAAAAAAAAAGATTTTTTTTGATGTGGACCATTTTTAAAGTCTTTACTGAATTTATTACATTATTGCTTCTGTTTTATGTTTTGGTTTTTTGGCCGCGAGCCATGTGGGATCTTGGCTCCCCGACCAGGGATCGAACCTGCACCCCCTTCATTGGAAGGCAGAGTCTTAACCGCTGGACCACCAGGGAAGTCCCTCACTATATATTCTTAAACCTGTGAAGGAATGATTCTTTAATATCTAAAATGGCATTTATGTTATTCTAACTCACTCTGAACTACAGATATCCTGTAACTAATACTAAGGAGAAATCCAATTTATCTCTATAAAGAGTTTTTTTCTATTACTTCAGATTTTTTTTTGTTGTGGTACAATATACATAACATAAAATTGAACATTTTAACTGTTTTTAGATTATTTTTTAATCTCCCTATCTTGAAGTTTGCTGCACTTCGGAGATTAAAATCAAGTCCCCTCTTTGCTTTGTATATATGCTATAGATATAAAAATTGGCAAAATGAAAAATTTTGACCAACATCCATGTACCATTTCCAGACTAAGATAAATAATGAAAGACTCCACAAAAGAATTTTTGTTTGTTTCACCACGTACTACTAATGGCATTTAAAATTTTTAGTCTATTAGGCATTTTATAAAAATTTCAAAATTTTCCTATTTTGTTTCAAAGAATATGCACGGTTTATTAAATGAATAATGAAGATAAAACCATGTTAGGTTAGTCTGCCATTAGTCTTATGTCTTTAGAGCACATCTTTTCATGTTTTGAAATTTTAATAGTTTTTGTCTTTAATTGTAGGGGTGAGTGTTAAAGGCCGAGAGCCCCACCTGGTATCTTGCTGACAGTCTTTCTGTCTACCTCAGTTCCTGTTGTCGTCTTGGGATGATCTGTCTGATACCTTGCCAATATCCTTCACCTCTGGGCCGTTGACTTCATCACATTCCAGGAACTTAACTCCCACGGCCTCAACATGAATATCACCATCCTGAGTTTCTCTTTCTGAAATCTTAAATTTCAATAGCTAATGACATTCTTATCTTTCCAGTTTTTTACTTCCTCATTTTGATTGATTCTTCTCCCTCTTATTTCTTTTGTATCTCTTTAGCTTCCTCATAGCCTCCTCCTCTTGCTGCCCCCTTTTCTCCTCACCATCAGCCTCTTTCAGATTTTCTTCCTTCCCTGTCCAGCCTTGGCCTTATGGGGCACCATATGACGTGCTCTCCACAGTCCCTTCAAATCCATCTTCCCCTGGTCTTTCAGCCTAATCATTCTGCAGTCCCTCAACATTGAATTAATCCTATCGTTCTACCTTCTTTTTTTGGGATGCTGAGTTCCATGTGAAGTTCCTGCAGCTCCTTCAAAGTGGAATCACTCTAAGTGTCTTGCCTTCAGCTTTAGAAGAGCCCTCAGTGTAAGCCTTTCGTCTGTTACTAGTGTGGCCCCTGTCCCTTTCCCACTGTGGCTAATCCAAACCTCTAACTTGCCTTATCACTCTCCTCTGGCCCTTTGTCCCCTCCCCTAGCACATGGCTGTTGGTCCTGTCTTACAGAAAATAGAGACTATGAGGAGGTCAGTGTTTGTTCACCCATTTTGCCCTGCTCATGTCCCCGCTTTGAGGAGGAAAAGAGGTATCCTGCTTCGTGTTGAAGACTAGTCTCCACGTTTCCTCTCTGCCGGCTCCCTCATGCCCCCGACGCTTCTCTTTTTTCTGCCAATATCCTGTACGTATTGCTCTTTTCCAGAATACTGTTTTTTCTTTTTCCTCCCTCTTCTCCCATTTTTCCTTCCTTCCTTCCTTTCTCCCTTTTTTCTTTTTTACTTACTCTAAATACAGTTGACCCTTGAACAACACAGGTTTGAACTATGTGGGTCTACTTATACGTGGGGTTTTTTTCAGTAGTAAATACTACAGTACTACACAATCAGTGGTTGGTTGCATCTCCGGATACAGAGGAATTGCAGATATGGAGGGCTGACTAAAAGTTATATGCAGATTTTTTTTTTTTTTTTTTCCGGTACACGGGCCTCTCACTGTTGTGGCCTCTCCCGTTGTGGAGCACAGGCTCCGGACGCACAGGCTCAGCAGTCATGGCTCACGGGCCCAGCAGCTTCGCGGCATGTGGGATCCTCCCGGACTGGGGCACGAACCCACATCCTCTGCATCGGCAGGCGGACTCTCAACCACTGTGCCACCAGGGAAGCCCTATATGCAGATTTTTGACTGCTAGGAGGATTGCACCCCTAACTCCATCATTGTTCAAGGCTCAACTGTGCATTTATGTGATGTTATTGATAGCCACAGCTTCTATCACCTGTAATGTTAGGCTGACTCCCAAACCTGTAGCTTGAAACCCAGCTTCTACTTTCTAAACCTTCTTTCTAACTGCCTATTAAATATCTTCAGTTAGACATCCCATAGTAATTTTAAATACGATATGTTCAAACAACTAATCCTTACTTTTCATCTAAAATCTTTTCCAGTTCATGTTTTCTCTTTTTTTGATCTTCCACGAAGCAGGGCAACACAGAATGCTGTAACCTACTTCTGCCTACCTTGCCAGCCACATCTCTGCAGCTCTTCCTGTGTGATCATTTTCTAGTCCAGTGTTCCTTAGGCTCATTTTTGATCAACATTCTGATGGAGCTGCTTGGGACAAGGAGAGTCTCTCCCTATCTCTGCCTTTGTCTCCTTGTTTATCCTTACACAGCTAAGAAGATTTTTATTTAACTTAGCTTTTACAAGTTTTGCTATGAAAATAACCTTTGTGCTTTCTAAGTATAAATGTTTAAATCACAGACTGCCCACCCTCACCCCACCCTTTTTGGAGAATCATGATCAATCACAAGTATACTAGTTCCTTCCCCAATGTGCTGTGTGTATTTTTTCCTCAATATCCTCGTTACTTCTGGCTGGAACACTTTGCCCTTCTTTGTAGTCAAGTGAATACCTATTTATCCTTTAGGACTCAGCTCCAGTGATATTGGATCCATAAGCCTTTTTCCAGCCCTTTTCAGTCAAAGTTACATGTCATTCTGCTTCTGCTCCCTGAAACTTCCCCAACCCATGTTATCACACTGATCACATTGCTTTATAGTCATTTTTCTTATGAGTTGGCAAACTCCGTATTTTAAAAATGTATCTTTATGTATAGTGCTTAATGAATAGTAGGCCCTTAGTAATGTTTTTGAATTAATAAGAGGTATGATTCTTAAGTGCTGAAGTCTGCCACAAAAGGGTTACTGCTCTTGGATTCCAAACTGCCCTGACCTCTGTACCAGTGGTTGACAAGGCCAAGAGGGAATTACTCCTCAGAGGAGTAAAGTATCATTTAGATCTAGAACCAGAGAAAAGTAGAGAGCTTTCTCTTCAGAAGCTGGGAACTCCATTTTGTCTTCATGACCCTGTGAACCACTTGGGTCTCTCACTGGTTGGTACACTAATGGGGCTACTGTTGGGTGCTTTTTGTACAACTTTTTCATCCCCCACACAATTGGAGAATAATTTGTAGACCATAACAGTTATAATGCTTTTTACTGTGATGTATTACAAAACAATGGACAGTACATTTTTGTATGTGTTAAAGCCTGCTATGTAAATTCTGTTTCATTTAGAATGGATTAACTTCAAAATACCAAATACTCCACATAAGAAAAGTACTATAATTACTGTAATTCACTCATCAACAACTATTATGTGCCTATTACATGCTAGGTTTTATCCTAGGCACTGAGTATATAGCTTTGTAAAACACCAGAGTTTGTTTTCTAGTGGAGGAAGTTAACGCATTTTAAGAAATAAATGTGTAGCTTGGTGAGTGATGAGTGCTAATGAAGAATAAAGCAGGGCATGGGGCTAATGTGACTCAAGAGGGGTGCTGTTTTATTTAGGGTGGTTGGGAAGGCACCTGTAAGCACCTGTCCACTTCAGCATTTGGGTCTACCCCTCTGGTTGAATACTGTTCAGTGTGCCATTGCACATTCAGTATATTCATGAAGTTTCTCTTTCTTATGGAAGTTTTGATGATGAATTAAACAATGAATCACTACCTAAGAACTTCTCATTTTGATCCCATTTAAAGGGTTTCTCTCCAGTGTGGCCCTTACTAATGGGTAAGTGATAACCTAAAGACCTTGTAGCATTTATTACACTTGCAGTTTCTCTCCATTTTGAACTCTTTGATGGTTACTAAAACTCTGTTAAAGGATTTTTCATAATCCTTAAATTTGTATGGTTCTTTTCCATTATGAATTTTCTCATGTTATCTAGGCTTTGAGACTTAGTTAAAGGCTTGTCTGCTTTGCTGCATTTATAGGGTTTCTGGCTACTGTAAATTGTTTGATGCTGATTAAGGTGCAGATCATGAGTGAAGACTTTCCCTTACTTGTTTGCATACAGTAGAGTGAGGTGAGAGTCGTTGGCTAAAACCCCACAATGAAATTTACATTCCTGCCTTTACAGTCAGTCCCCCTGGGAATTCTCTGATGTTCATTAAAGTGGGAGATTCATTTTAATGCCATTTTTTAAAAACCCACAGCTGGCTTATATGCTAGTTTTAGATTGCTTGTCACTTTTCTCTCTCCACCTTCCAGGGCTCCTTTTCTGACTCCCATAAGGATACCCCTTCTACCACAGAATACAGGATTCCATAGTTCTCTAGTATCACCTCCTTGTATTATTTCTTTTAACACAATATGAGCTATCATGGAAGTATTACATTAACATACATTTAATGTATCCACAGTTAAAATATGCATTATGTATTCGTGCTGCTGTTCCTTACTGTTTTTTATTTTCCTACTTCTAGTGAAAATTTCCAAGTAAAATGTTTTGGAGCATATAAAATTTAAAAAAAATAAAACCATAGTCCCATATTTGTATCTTTATTTTCTTTTATATCTGAGTGTTGTGTCAGAATGAAAACTTTTATCATGTTAGTTTACGATTTATAATCAAGCAGGACCCTATGGGGCCTTTCTGGGACAGATTCCTCCCCTCCCCCCATGTCCTCCACCTGCCTCTTGTTTATAGAAAAACTTTAGCCTCCTAGGCTTTCCCCAAGTTCCAAAAATAAATTTAATCAGAGAAGTGAGAAAATGCAGAAACAAAGGAAAACAGTCAAACAGGACAAAATAATAATGGTTTAACCATTAAACAAAGTCAAGGACCTTTCGTTCCTCCTCAAGGGTTATAGATAATATTCTGAGCCATACCCTTAGAGCTGTTTTGCAAATACTGAAAATCCCACCAGGTGGAAGAAGTTAACTATATGCTACCCACAAGCACATAGACCCCAGACTGGTTGGAACCAGAAGGTTGATGTTGCTGACTCCCGATTACCTCATTACCAACCAATCAGGAGTGTCCACGAGCTGACCATGCACCCCGCAACCCTCTCCCTCGCCCTGTCTTTAAAAACCTTTTTCTGCAAGCCATCAGAGAATTTGGGTCTTTTGAGCATTAGCTGTGCATGCTCCTTGTTTGGCGCCTGAGGTAGATGCTGCGCTTTCCTTCACCACAACCTAGTGTCAATAGATTGGCTTTACTGCATAAGGGCAAATGGACCCAAGTTTGGTTTGGTAACATACGATATTATTTCTTCTGGTCCTGATAACTTTCAGACAGGGTGGTTTAGTGGTTAGGAATATGGGTAGAGGCCTGATTAAATCCCAGCTCTGTTGTTTCCTAGCTGTGTGATTCCATATAAATTATTTAACCTTTCTGTGCCTTAGCATTTTATTAACACAGGAATAATAATAATATCTACTTCACAGGTTATTGAAGAATAAATGAGTTAATATTCAGAGTGCTTAGTTCAATGCCTAGCACATGGTAAGAGCTCAAAAGTTATTTTCCTTAATGGCCAATTCTATGTATTGGCACACCTCACTCATCATGCTAAAAAGTACCATAATACTCAGGAACCAGAATAATTGAGTGACAAACTCTTGTTCTGACCGGTGAGCACTCACTGCCCTTTGCTCAGTACAAGTGGTGGTGGCCATTCTAAATGGGAAGAAGTTTTCAGAGAAGAAATCACTGGCTGTATAGGCATCTTAAATGTTTGTAATAAGTGTGGCTGGGAGAAAACCTACAATTAATTTTCATAAGTTTTCAGCCTCAGACTCCAAAAGTATATATACCTGCTGTATACTAACTTCCACATTTACCAATCAGCTTGACTGACTTGGCTTCTGGTCTCACTCTTACCTTTTGGTCTCTTATCTCACAAGTCAGATGCATTTAATTAATATTAGTCATCTAAATATTATGGATACCCTATTTAAAAATAGATTAAACTGGTAAATCCACATGATTGAGTAGCATGTAGCTTTAAAAACCAAAGAGGAATATTTCTGTAAAATGCTATGGAGTGGCCATATTAAGTGAAAAACAAGGTGGAGAAGGTGTATAGTACTATTTATTTAAGAAAGAGTATAAATGTGTGTAATAATCTTGTTTGCTTATATTTTTAAAAAAAAAACTTTAAAAAACGGTTACCTATGGTGGAAGTGGGAGATGGGGGCAGAGGAACCAGTTGGAGGATCAGGATGGAAACTAGACTTCTCTGAATATATGCTGAATTTTGTATTTTTTACATCAGAATGAAAGAAAACCCCTAAAAATCCAAAGCAAAATGAAACAAATGAGCTGTAATTATGTAGCAAGTTGGTGGCTTCAACACACAGGAATGTATCAGTTATCTTTAAAGCACAAAATTTTCACACCCCTAGTGGGATATCCCCAAGGGCAAAAGGAGCTAGAAAGAAATCAAACTCCTCGGTACTTATATTGTTAATAACTATGAAAATCAGAAATGTATTGAGGATTTTCAGTGTAAGAGAAAAGAGACATGAAACTGAATAAGGTAAGTAAAAATTCTGTAATTTTAAATTTGAATGGGAAATAACAGTATGAAGACCATTAAATAATGTCTAAATACCATTTCCCATTAAAACGAACTAGGGCTCCTTAGAGATAAGGCCGATTCAGTTCTTGGGCAGGGCAGTCAAATGGTTGATGAGGGACAATTTTTCTTTAATTCATCTAATAAAAGGAATTACAAAATTTGAAAAGCAACATTTTGCACCTTGTAAACAAAAAACAATCATTGGTAACTAGAATCTTAGCTAGTAAATACAGTTTATTTCATTTTATTATTCACTCATATTCCTATATATATGTATTCAAATTTTTCCATAATAAAAAATTATTTGAACACATTATTTTACAAATGTCACTTTCTTTCTAAGAAAGCTTAGAACCATTTCAGTACTTAACTGAACATACTTAAACTGATTTTTTTTTTTTTCTTGTGTTCTTTCTTGTTCCTAGAGAGGTAGGAGAAATGCCAATTAATTCATGGCTCTTTTTCTGGTCTGGACAGCCTCACAGAACTAAGCCTTCAAGTGGGTTGGTTATTGGCCCCTGGCAGTGGCATGCAAGATAAATAATGAAACTAAATTCAGATCTCACAGAACCTCAGTTATTGGGCTTTATTGAGTTTCTGTTATTTGACATTTAGATTCCCAGATATTTACTTTTGAAGTGCAAATACAAACCGATAAGCCCTGTGTCCGTTAAGCATTATGGCGCTCTGCTATGTGGAATATAGATCAAATATGGATATAGATACAGATGGGGGAGAGAGGCAGAGAGGTGAATATATATTATGTTAAATATATGTATGTCTTTAAATATTTGTACATACACACAAGGTATGTATATGTTCCCTGTAGCCTATCATGATCCTTAAAGACCTGAATGGTTTTATGAAGTTGCTGATCCTGTCTTCTATTTTGAAGACTATTAAAAAATGGGATTAATTTCCCACTCTTAGACATATATCTGGACAAAACTAAAATTCAAAAAATACTGCACTCCTATGTTCATAGTAGCACTATTCACAATAGCCAAGACATGGAAGCAACCTAAATGTCCATTGGCAGATGAATGGATAAATAAGATGTGGTACATATATATACAATGGAATATTACTCAGCCATAAAAAAGAATAATGCTATTTGCAGCAACATGGATGGACCTATAGATTACCCTACTAAGTGAAGTAAGACAGGGAAAGACAAATACCATAAAGATACCACTTATATGTGGAATCTAAAATATGACACAAATGAACATATCTACAAAACAGAAACAGACTCAGGCATAGAGAACAGACTTGTGGTTGCCAAGGCGTGGGGGAGGGATGGAGTGGGAGTTCTGGGTTAGCAGATGCAAACTATTATATATAGAATGGATAAACAACAAGGTCCTACTGAACCGCACAGGAACTATATTCAATAGCCTGTGCTAAACCATAATAGAAAAGAATATAAAAAAGAATGTATATACGTATAACTGAATCACTTTGCTGTCTAGTAGAAATTAACACAACACTAAATCAACTATGCTTAAATAAAAAAGTTGCAACAACAAAAAATAGATTAATTTTTTTAAATGGGTGATTTGGGTAATATGTGAGAGAAGATTTTGACAATTGACATAAGACAACGGTGGACGGAGGCTGATTCCGAAATTTAGAAATTTCCATATTTGAATATTCTCACGAAGAGAAGGGATAGCTGCATGGCCTGGAAATTGCACTCAAGTGCTGGTTGACAGTTTAAACCAGATTACGTAGAGATACTAAGCCCCAGATAGTGGAAGAGGGCTACCATCTTTTGCATAAGTAAGAGTCTCCCAGACCCAGGCAAAGTGGAAATGGGTCCCAGACAGAGGGACCCACCTTGGGTGAAGTAACGAAGTTATAAAGGGTCAAAGGGCGAGAGGTTTTATACCAACGGGTGAGGTCGGCGCGCCTAAGGTTGAGGCGTGGAGTAAGGGGAGCAGTGATTGTCGGCTGGAACCTCAAGCTCAACTGGGAACCACGCTCAATCGGGCCATCTCTCAGTTCTGTCCTCGTCTCTGGAGGCCTCTCCACCGAGGGTGCGGGGGCTGGGGGATGGAGGCGGCAACGGGGGGTGGGGGAAGGGAGGGAGCGGGGGCGGGGCAGGGCGGGGCGGGGAGCTGGGGACGGACACGCCGGCGTCACCCTGCGGCGCGTCACGTGCGGCGTCGGCAGCCATGGCGGGAAGCGAACCGCGCAGCGGAGGCGTCACCCGTCAGCCTCACCACAGCGACTGGGGCCGCCTGGAGGCTGCCTTCCTCAGCGGCTGGAGGAACTTCTGGCAGTCGGTGGGCAAGGAGAGGGCGGCTCCGAGGTCCTCCCCGGAGGAGGCGGACGAGGAGGCCAGCTCGCTAACGCGGCTGCCGGTGAGCGTCGGCCGCCACCCGCGGAGGACCGCGGGCAGGGCCGGGAGGGGCGCTCGCCGGGGCGGCCTTTGGGGGCCGCGGCGGCCGGGGGGGGGAGCCTCCCTGGGCTCGGCCTGTGTCTGGTCCCGTCCCTGCAGCCATTCCGGGCAGTGTCATCACCTGGGGGCAGCAGTTGAGCAGAAACGCCTTGGCGTTGACCCGTGGTGCCCCGCAGCTGGGCCGAAGGTCGCCCCGAAACTCACCTGCAGGTTGTGCCCTGGCAAGCAGCCAGGTCACCCTCCGGTCTTCTACTCCCAAAACAGGTCTAGGGACTGGGGCACCCTGAACATCAGGTTAAGGAAACGCGGAGACCATGCCAGACGTTCTGGAAATCATGGAAAGCGTCCAGTGTCTTGTGTTCTCAGCATCTATCATCCCAGCTTCCATGTACCGAAACACCTGGCGGTCCCGCAAAACACACACTCTCCTAGGATTTTGCGACTGTTATCTTACCTGTATTTCAAGTGACAAAACTGACAATTGAAAGTAAATGACTAGGGATTTCCCTGGCGGTCCAGTGGTTAAGACTTCACTTTCCACTGCAGGGGGTGCAGGTGGATCCCTGGTGGGGAGCTAAGATCCCACATGCCTCTGGCCAAAAAACCAAAACATAAACAGAAGCAGTATGGTAACAAATTCAATAAAGACTTTAAATATGGTACACATCAAAAAAAAATCTTAAAATGCGGGAAAGTAAATGACTAAGTTACAAGGGCCTCAAGTTACAGCAGGCCACGAGAATTACACACATTTTTCATTGTTAAACTTTTCAGGTAGATAGGAAAACGGAGAGAGGAGAATTTCTTAGAAATTATTAAAATGCTGTATTTCAGCTGGACTGTTGACTGTCTGAGGTCCATAAGAAATTAAAAAACTGCAGGCTTAGGTTGCCTCCATAGTTCTCCTTGCAGAGGTTCTCTGAAATAACAGATTTTACAGAACAGGTGACAGATTTACTCTTTGATTTGATGTAATGATAAAATCAGAAGTTTGTCCGCTTGATAAAGATTTTATTTTGAAGAATAAATTATTTCATTAAGCAGTTCATTCAAATAAATGGTGGGGCAGAATATCCATAAGGAAAAATTAAATGAAGTGCTTATTTTACTTGAAAAATACCAGAACAATGGGAGGTATTTCAGGAATGTTTCGATGTGTCAAAAATGAAATGTTCATTATGATTCTGTCCTGAGACAGGAAATAACTTCAGCATGATAGATTTCATCATTAAAAATAATGACTGTTGAATTCCCTGGTGGTCCAGTGGTTAAGACTGTGCTTCCACTGCAAGGGGCACAGGTTCCATCCGTGGTCAGGGAAGTTCCACATGCCACTGCAAAAAAAAAAAAAAGACTGTTAAGTTGATTTTTTGTTATTTAGTATAAAAACTGTTAATTTTGTAATTTATCATGATAGATTTAATTATTCAAATGATACACTGTTCAGTTGACCTTTGGTTTCCTAGTATAATATAATTATTTATTTGTAATTATTTATTTTTTTTAATATAAATTTATTTATTTTTGGCTGCATTGGGTCTTCATTGCTGTGAGTGGGCTTTCTCTAGTTGCGGTGAGCGGGGGCTACTCTTCATTGAGGTGCGCGCGCTTCTCATTGCGGTGGCTTCTCCTGTTGCGGAGCACGGGCTTTAGGAGTGACGGCTTCAGTAGTTGTGGCTTGCAGGCTCTAGAGTGCAGGCTCAGTAGTTGTAGCGCACGGGCTTAGTTGCTCCGCGGCATGTGGCATCTTCCAGGACCAGGGCTCGAACCCGTGTTCCCAGCATTGGCAGGCGGATTCTTAACCACTGCGCCGACAGGGAAGTCCCTATAATTTATTATTTTTAAAAGTCCCTGTAATGTATTATTTAAAAAAACTTTTTACCAAGATAAATTATTCATTCCTTTAACCTACTTACTGCTTCCCTCTGTTTCAGATTGATGTACAGCTATATATTTTGTCATTTCTTTCACCTCATGATCTATGTCATTTGGGAAGTACAAGTCATTATTGGAATGAAACCGTACGAGATGCAATTCTGTGGAGATATTTTCTGTTGCGGGATCTTCCTTCTTGGTCTTCTGTTGACTGGAAGTCTCTTCCAGATCTAGAAATCTTAAAAAAGCCGATATCTGAGGTCACTGATGGTGCATTTTTTGACTACATGGCAGTGTAAGTATATAGTTTTATGAATTAAAAACAAGATATTAAATTTGACTATATTACAAGTCAGTAGTCTAAGTTAGTCTTGGCCCTCCTACTAATTTGTTGCATGAATTTTTGAGTCTGAGTGTCCTTTTGTAAAAATTGGGGGTTAGGTAAAATAACTTCCTTCATAGAACCCTTTTAGCGTTCACATTTTGTTATTTCCCTGTAGTACCTAAGTAGAGTATTTGAATAATTATAGATAGTTTATATGGCAAGAAGTAAAACACTTCTTAAAATTTTCATTATCTTTAGAACACTTGTCATTTTGTTAAAATAAATACTTTTCCATGTCCAGAGAAGGAAAGGCCAGAGTTCAGACAGGAGTTCTTTTGCATGGAAGAAAACCATTCTTAAGTTTATGGGAAATAAGATTTTGTTATCACCCAAATGCATTGACATTTTTGAATATCATGTATTAGAATTAATTTTGTTGAGCAACTATAGTGTATTGGATTCTATGATGGATGTTTTATGTATGTTTACTTATTTAATTCTCACGCAATAAGAAGGTATTTTCCTTGTGTTATGGATGTGGAATGAAGATTCTGCATGGTTATGGATTTGTCTAAGGTCGCATAATTTGTAAGGGACTGTAATGTCGTTAGTTCTAGATATAACCTGTTTTATTAAGAGCCCCAAATTTAAGGCATTATAAGTAAAATTTAAAGAATATTTGTGCATTAGGTAAGAATTGTTTTCCTGTGGTAGATTTAATAGCTACATGTGGGACTTTTTTTCATATTTTAAGTTATTCAGAATCTTTCCTTATTCCAATACAGATGCCATTACATCAAGTCTTGTGAGACTACTTGATTAAAATATACATGTATGTAATTTTAACAAGTGCTACTGTACTCTCACTTGCTAGTGTTACCTCTTCATTGTCCCACAGCCAACCATAACATCAAGTGTTTCTGTGTGCTGTGGAACCACATTTTCCTAGGGATAGTAATAATCGTAATAACGACCATTTGTGATCATATAAATTATTTCTGATCCTTACGACCCTGGATTGATTGTTATTGTTCAAATAATGCAGATGAAAAAACTGAAGTTTAGACTATAAGTGGCTTATATGACTAATTAAAGTGGTGAGGCTTGGCCAGATCTACATAGCTGCAAAGTTCATTTTTTTTTCCTTCTTGAATTACAAGGTTCCCAAGTAAAGATGATTGTCTTGTAACGTTAGTTGTTGTCTTAACCAGCTCGATTTAAAGGGCTTTAGGTTTTATTTTGATTTGAGTAACTTTGTTTTAATTTTTGATAACATGTTGAATTGCTAGTTTAGAAATTTATAGCTATTGAAAAAGTTGAGTCGTTTCTTTCACATGATTCTTAGTTTGCCAGGTTACCTATAAGGAACATTTGAGCTGCCCTGCGATTAATACTTATTGAACTGTTACTGTTAATAGAAGTACCCTAAGAAATTTGGTTATATTGGTAGCTTCAGTAATTTTTTTTTCTTTTTTATCTCTAGGGACATTTATACTAACTATGTAGTTTATGTTTAGTACAGGGTTTCTCAGTCTTGGCACTATTGACATTTTGGACCAGATGTTATGGGAACTGTCTTTTGTGTGCATTGTACGATGTTTAACAGCATCCCTGGACTCTAGACCTTAGGAAATGTTCCCTGGGGGTGCAAAATCTCCCCAGGTTGAGAATCACTGCTTTATGTAGTGAATTTTAAGCATTGAAACACGTGTTAGACCAAGTGTTTCATGAGAGAATCTAAATGAAAAATTAGAAAGTTAAGTAAATGATTCCCAAGGAAGACCTCCTCAGCTACTAGACCACTACTACTCCCATAGCATCTTGTGCTTTTTTCTGTCATGGAACTCGGCATACGTATTATAATGGTGCCTGTCCTCCACTGCCCTTCATGAGGATTGGGACTGTATAATCATTATGTCCCCTTTGTCTAGCAAGTTCTCAATACATTATATATTGTTTAATGAATAACTGGCTAAGTGTTTGTGTTAATTTTCTAATTGTGACAATTTTATACAGCTATAAAATGTGCTGTCCATATACAAGAAGAGCCTCAAAATCTAGCCGTCCTATGTATGGAGCTGTCACCTCATTTTTACACTCATTGATCATTCAGAATGAACCACGATTTGCCATGTTTGGACCAGGTTTGGAAGAACTAAATACATCTTTGGTGTTGAGCTTGATGTCTTCCGAGGAGCTTTGCCCAACAGCTGGTTTGCCTCAGAGGCAGATTGATGGTAATTTTCATGTTAATCTACAGTACATAATAATTCAAACACTTTGAGCTTGACTCTAATGTTAAATAGAAAGAAATTAGTTTTTAAATTAATTAACTCTTTGTTGTAATGAAATATACTAATTTGGTGCATGGGAGCCCTCAGGTCTCTATGGACTGAAAGAATTAATTTACTTTTTATAAGAGGTAAGCTTTCTCTTACTTTCTCAGTCCAGAATATGAGATTATGTGAAAGCAAATTGTATGTTGTCAAAATGTTATATTTGTTTGCTATAAAGCAGAAACTAACACACCACTGTAAAGCAATTATACTCCAATAAAGATGTTATAAAAAAGTTATATTTGTACATTTACCATATTTTAAAAGAATGTTAACAGCAAAATCCATTCAGCACCTACTATATGCAAAGTACTTTGATATATATTGGAATTTCAAAAAAGAGCTAAATTATCACCTTACCTTTATTTCTATGATAAACAATAGCAACAACAGCCATGTAGTTAGTTTCGTAAGCAGGATGTATAATAAACATGCATAACAGTGTAAACTAGCTTGTGCTTTACTTATTCATTTATTGAGAGTACCTATTAGATACTAAAGATGCAGAGATTTAAAACAAACAACATCGGAAATCTCCTGTTTGCCCTGAAAGGTACTTGGTCTAAAGGAGGGCAGAGACATGTATACAGGTGATTAGAATGTGGTGTAATTAGCTCCTGTGTAGAAAGGTAAGGGTCAGAGAAGGCTCTGCATTGAACCTGATGCCTTACATGAGTCAATAGGATAAGTAGGGGTAGGCCATCAAAAAAAAGGGTAAAATATTCTAAGCAGTGAGAACTACATTTCTAAAATCCCAGAGTTCTGAGTGTGCATGACACACTTGAAGTAGCTTTGTGTGTCCAGAGTGGGGCCAGGTGAGAAGACGCTTGTATGTCAAGCATTTGTTGAAGGATTTTAAGCAGAGAAGTAAGATGATCAAGATGGCATTTTGGATAGATCACTCTGGCTCCTGAGTGGAGAACTGATTAGAAGTTAAGAAACCACTACAATATTGTGATAAAAATATGAAGGATATAGAATTGACTCAATGTGTGTTAGCAGTAATACGGATAATTCCTGGTTTTTGGTCTGATTTTCATATTGGATGATGGTGCCATTCACTAGGTTAAGGAAACACAGGAGGAAGAGAAACTTTTGATACAAGTAGAGATGCCTGCTATAAGCTAGCCACTTGAATGGAAGCTCCATTAGGGCAGAAATCTTGTCAGCTTTATTCTTAGCTGTGGTGCCAGGCACATAGTAGGCATTCAATATACATTTGATGAGTGAATGAACGAATGACTTTATGGATTACTTTATGCATCCATATCTCAAGAGAAAGATCTGGGCTAGAAATGAAGATTTGGGAATCATATGAAGTCCACATGGACTTGGAAGTTTCTGACGATAGAGAGGAATATTGTAAGCCAGGTGCTGAAATCATCAGTGAACGTTTGGAGGAAGGGGTTATCAAAAGGAGATTCATAAATGACAAGGTTAAGGACAGGAGATGGTATTACAGCTAAATGGTGTGTGTGTCTCAGAGAGATGGAGTTTTTTCAAGAGGGTTGGTGAGTAATGGTTAAGACATGGCATTGAGGAGTAAAGAGACCATTCACCTCATCTCTTTACCCTGAGATGTGAGAGAATAGGTAACTTTGTTACTTGAGACCCCACTGTTAAGAGAAGTGGCACCTAGGGACAGGCTAGTTTCAGGTAGGGCCATGAGGTGGAAGGAACCCTTCAAGAAGAGGTTGGGGATATGGGGAAATTTGCTGATAGTGAAATGGCAATTTCATTCTCCAGACAGCAGCTGGAGTGATTGTTTGAAATTGCCCATCTAATTGTGCCTCAGACCCTGCAAGGTCAGGGAAGAGTGGAGGGATGAGTCATTGGCAAGGTGGGGCAAAACAACATGAGAATCATACTGGGCTGAGGTTAGATGTGTTGAGAGGGTAATTTCTGGAAGTTAAACTGATGTAAACAAAGATTAGAGACATGGTAGAATTTGTTTCTGTGATCTCTCTGGGGAGGCCCCTGGTGGCGGGAGGACTAGGGCCACTTTGCCTGGGATGCTTGCAGTCCCAGCCACCAAGATCTCTATATATGTGTTGCCCAGAATGGTGACATAAGATGGCACGGCGTAGCTGCTTTAAATACCTAGAGTGGTTATGCAGGGATTAAGGATATGAAAGATGGAGTTGTCCTAATGAGGTAAGTAGAGGCCAGATTATATTAAAATTTTGTTTATCTGAAGAGCAGGGGCTTTGAAGGGAAGAGATGTAATTAAAAGCATTTTAAAGCAATCTCTCCAGCTGCTGTCATAAGAATGGATAGTAGGGGGCAGAAGTGGATTTAGGAGACTAGTTAGAAATGATTACAGAAGTCCAGGTGAGAGATAATAATTTAAACTAAAAGGTGGGGGTGAGGATGGAGAGAAGTAGACAGATCTAAGAGGACATTTATATAGTAAAAAGAGGTAAAGCCAAGGAAGAGGAAAAGGATCTTTCCGGGAGGCAAGAGGAGAATCAGCCCCATAGTGTTAACACAGCCAAAGGAGGGAAGGAGTTAAGAAAGAAGGACAAATGACAATGTTGAATAATTTAGGTATAAAATAGTAAGAAGCGGGCTTCCCTGGTGGCGCAGTGGTTGGGGGTCCGCCTGCCGATGCAGGGGACGCGGGTTCGTGCCCCGGTCCGGGAGGATCCCGCATGCCGCGTAGTGGCTGGGCCCGTGAGCCATGGCTGCTAAGCCTGTGTGTCCGGAAACTGTGCTCCGCAACGGGAGAGGCCACGGCGGTGAGAGGGACGCGTACCGCAAAAAAAAAAAAAAAAAAAAAAAAAAATAGTAAGAAGCTAGTGTTTAGCACCTGTTACTTACCAGTCACTCCGTAGGTGTTTTACATATGTGATCTCATTTAATGCTTACAATAACCCTAAAAAGTGTGTATTATTTCTATATTTTGATGTCAAAGCAGGCTCACAGAAACATGGGCATATGTGGCAAATTCAGGATTCTAGCCCAAGTCCAATTCAAAATTTCAGTGTCTGCCATATTTCCTCAGTTTTCTAAGGTGCCATGAATTTAAAAACAGCTTTTCAGAGTGGGGAAAAAAAGCCATTTGGTTGAATGTGTACGTGGAGTATAAGACTAATGAGAAACATAAAAGAAGTGAAACTAAGCCTTAGTCTTGAGGATAAATAGTAGTAGCTGTTGCGATGCAGCTGCTACTGAGAGGATGATGATAAAGTTAATGATGATAGTGATGATGGTATGAAAAGGAATGTTAGGGCTTCCCTGGTGGCGCAGCGGTTGAGAGTCCGCCTGCCGACGCGGGGGACACGGGTTCGTGCTCCGGTCCGGGAGGATCCCACATGCCGCGGAGCGGCTGGGCCCGTGAGCCATGGCCGCTGAGCCTGCGCATCTGGAGCCTGCGCATCTGGAGCCTGCGCATCCGGAGCCTGTGCTCCGCAACGGGAGAGGCCGCAGCAGTGGGAGGCCTGCGTACCGCAAAAAAAAAAAAAAAAAAAAAAAAAAAGGAATGTTAAAGTCTAGCACTTTTTTCTTCTATATCCATAGTTTATTACTATGTGAATGAAAATTGCTTACGGCATCTTTTCTTCAACACAAACATTTCATTTTATTCCAGAGCTATATGTATCACTTGTCATAGTTTTTCATTTACTCTTTTTACTTATACCAGGTAATTTTTTTCATTCTCATCTTTTGCTGTCTTTATTAATGACTTGTTTTGATAACTGTAATTTTCTCCTTTAGGTATTGGATCAGGAGTCAGTTTTCAGTTGAGCAACCAACATAAATTCAACATCCTAATATTATATTCAACTACAAGGTAAGGCTACCTACTTGGCAACCTATCTGAGACATCAGTAATGGAATATTTTAGGGGGGTGAAGTCTGTTTAGTGTCCGTTTATGTTCTGTATTTACATTTTTCTTATAGAAAGGAAAGAGATAGAGCAAGAGAAGAACATACAAGTGCAGTTAACAAGATGTTCAGTATACAGAATGAAGGGGATGATCAACAGGGAAGCCGGTACAGTGTAATTCCACAAATTCAGAAGGTGTGTGAAGTTGTTGATGGGTTCATCTATGTTGCAAATGCTGAAGCTCATAAAAGTAAGTATTATCTTATTTTCTTTTTAAAAGTGCCTTCTTTGCAAAGCAAATAAGAAAGTATGTTTTTAGGCTTTACTGTGGCTTGTTAAGAATATCATGGCTAATTTCATCAATGTGATTCTGTTATTACTGTTAATATTGGATTCCCAAAACTTGATGTGCATTAGGATCACTGAGGGATCTTGTTAAAAACGCAGCTGCCTGATTCCTACCCTGGTGGATTATGACTCATAGATTTGGGTTGTGTTTTGGGCATCTGTTTTTTTAACAAGCTTTACAGATTCTGATGCACACCGAAGTTTGATACTATAACTACATAGTGTTTTTTTGTTGTTGTATGCTTCTACACTTTTTGTTATTGGTGTTTTGTCTGCTTTTGGCCCTATTCAAATAACTTATGCAGGTAAATGAAAAATTTTACCTTTATTTTAATTATCCAGATAGTAGAGAGATGTGTGGGGTGGAGTGTTTACTTTAAGTAGATTAGTTAAGAACACTATCCATATATTCTGAATAATTGCCATTCACAGTGTGATAAATAGCATGAAAATAGAATATTATTGGGCCACAAGCCAGTATTGTAATTTCTTTCCCAAATCCTCTGTGAATAAGATAGGGTATAAATATACAATATATTATTCTCACTTGGAACAAGATAGCAGCATCCCACTGCTGAAAGAATTTACAGTTTATGGTGCACTGAAATTAACTATAGCAACAAGAGGCAAATGCAGCTCAATTACTGACTAGCTGGACTCATCCCACTGCATTAATGGCCTAACAGAAGAATCGTGTCCATTTCTAGAAGTAAATCCTTTACCTCAGTCTCTTCTGTTCTTCCACATAAAACATCTGGTGTTAAATTAAAAATTATAAGATACAAAAAAATATCAAAATGAAATGACCCATTGTCAAGTGATAAAGCATTCGATGGAATTAGACACAGAGATGGCCTGGATGTTAGCCCTCTCAGAAAGAGACATTAAAAGAACTATGATTAATATGTTAAAGAATCTAGTGGAAAAGATGGACAATATATGTGAACAAATAGGGATTTTCAGCAGAGAGAAGGAAGCTATGAAAAAGTAAAATGGGAATGCTAAATATGAAAAATATGATAACAGGTGAACAGTTCCTTCAGTGGACATATTAACAAAGGAAACCTTTTGTGAATGTGAAGATAGATCAATTGAAATTACCCAAATTAAAACACAAAGAGAAAAAAGAGTAGGGGTGGAGGACAAAACATTCAAGAGCTGGGGGAACCTATTAAGTGATCTAACTCAGGGGTTGGCATTTTCTTAAAGGTCCATATAGTAAATATTTTAGACATGTGAGCCATACAGTCTGTCACAGCTACTCACCTCTGCTATTATAGTGCAAAAGTAGCCATAGACAGTTTGCAAATGAATGGACATGGCTGTTTCACAAAGAAATTTATTTATAAAAACAGATCTTCAGAGTGTGGTATGCTGACCCCTGATTCAATTTATATGTGATTGGAGTCCCAAAACATGAAAGGAGTAAGAACAGGGAAAAAGAAATTTCTGAACAGATAATGACCAAAACTATTTCAAAATTACTGAAAGAGAATAAACCACAGATCCAAGATTCACAAAGAACTCCAAACCTGATAAATAAAAAATACAGATACATCATAGCCAAACTGATGAAAACCAAAGGTAAAGAGAATATCTTGAAGGCAACCAGAGCAAAACAAAACATACATATAGAGGGCCAAAGATAAGGACAGAGACTTTCTGACAGAATTTTGCTGTAAGCCAGAAGGTAATGAAGGGAAATCTTTATAGTATTCAAGGGGGAGGAAATCTAATACCCAGCAAACACATCTTTCAGAAATGAAGGCAAAATCAACACTTTTTTCAGACAAACAAAATCTGAGAAAGTTCAGTCAGCAGATTTGTATAATAAGAAATATTAAAGGAAACTCTTCAGGCAGAAGAATATGATACCAGGTAGAAAACTGCATCTACAAAAAGAAATGAAGAACCTTGGGATATAAACAATATAGCTATACATAAAATATTTTTTTCTAATTTTAATTTATTTATCATTATGTAAAGGATAAACAGTAACAATGTATTATGGGCTTATGATATTTTTTAAATAAAATATATTGTAACAATATTACACAGCATGGAAAGGCAGAAATGGAAATATAGTATTATGAGGTTCTATATGTGAAGTTATATAATACTTTTTAAAAGTAGACTGTTAGGGACTTTCCTGGTGGCACAGTGGTTAAGAATCCACCTGTCAATGCAGGGGACATGGGTTCGAGCCATGGGCTGGGAAGATCCCACATGCCATGGAGCAACTGAGCCCATGTGCCACAACTACTGAGGCTGTGCTCTAGAGCCCACGAGCCACAACTACTGAGCCCATGTGCCACAACTACTGAAGTCCACGTGCCTAGAGCCCATGCTCTGCAACAAGAGAAGCCACCACAATGAGAAGCCTGCACACCGCAACGAAGAGTAGCCCCCGCTCGCCACAACTAGGGAAAGCGTGCACGCAGCAACGAAGACTCAAATGCAGTCAAATAAATAAATAAAATAAAAACTAAACAAAGAAGTAGACTGTTGTAAGTTTAAAATATACATTGTAAATCCTTGAGCAACCACTAAAAAGAAGTGTAACAGAGGTATAGTTAAATAAGCCAGTAGTGAAGATAAAATGGAATCATTAAAAAAGTCAGTTCAAAAGAAGGCAGGAAAAGGAACAAAGAATAGATGGAACAAGTCAAAATTCAATAGGTATATGATAGATTTAAATGTACTGTGTTGATAATTACATTAAATGTTTATTTGTTTTCTATTAATATGTAACAAATTACTGCCAACCTAGTGGCTTAAAACAACATCTGTTTATTAGCTCAGAGTTCTCTATGTCTGAAGTCTTGAGCACGGCATGGCTGGGTTCTCAGCCTAGGTCTCAGAGGCTGAAATTAGGGTGTCAGATGGGTTACATCCCTTTCTGGAGGCTCTAGGGAAAAATCTGCTTTCTAGCTCACTCAGTTATTGGCTGAATTCAGCTCCTTACTGTTGTATGGCTGAGATCCCTGTTTCCTTGCTGGCTGTCAGCTTGGGGCAGCTCTCAGCTTCACAGGCCATCGTCATTCCTTGTCATGTGACTCCCTCTGTCTTCAAATCCGGCAATGGAGAGTCTCTCTCACTAGGTAGAATCTCATCTGTTTTAAGGGATCACCTGATTAGGTTAGGCTCACTGAGTTTAATCTCCCTTTCTTGAAGTCAGCTGTGTCTTATAGTATAGCCTAATCATGTCAGTGATAATCCCACTGTATTAACAGATTCCTCCCACACTCAGAGGAGAAGGGATTATACTGGGGTATGAGTCATTGGGGTCATTTTAGAATTCTGCCTACCACAAAATGTCAGTGATTTACACTCCAATGAAAGGCAGAGATTTTCAGTTTGGATAAAAAAGCTAGACTCAATTATATGTTTAAATTTTGGAAACTATGGCCTTTGAAAGAAAGGGTAGTGACAGCTACAGAATTTGTGAGAGGAAAATATCTATATCAAAGTATTTTTGCTTTTAAACCATCTGAGTGGTACTGTTTTTGTTCTCTCTGATTTCACCTAAATTCCTGTCCTTGCAAGGTTGATTAATGTAGTTTTACGAAAGATCAGTAAATGAACACAGCAATAGAGGCAGTTTGTTATGTTTGGATCCTGGTAATTTTTTGCTTCCCTTGTTTTGTTAGTTTTTAATTTTGTTTTATTATTTTTTACGTCATTACAAGTAATGCAAATTAAGGGTTTTGACTACATTCCTTAGGACATGAATGGCAAGATGAATTTTCTCGTATTATGGCAATGACAGATCCAGCTTTTGGATCTGCAAGAAGACCAATGCTGGTTTTATCTTGTATTTCTCAAGCTAATGTAAAAAGAATGCCCTGTTTTTATTTGGCCCATGAGCTGCGTCTGAATCATCTAAGCCACCCATGGATGGTAAGGTACAATTTTCTCTGGTGAGAAAAATCTCATTTTATTTTTCACTCTACTTTCTAATTGATTTTTATTTTTAAAATTCTTTTCTACTCATTCTCTTTAATAAAATAACATTCTAAAAGTCAGTTTTAGTAGCTTAATTTGTGGGAGATATTTGGTATCAAAGCTGACCTCTGAGATAAGTAATAAACCTCATATTGGTAGTAATTATAAGACAGAAGAGAAGATGATATTTTTTAATCTAAGCTCTCTAGAAGACCAAACTTGAGTGACTCACCCAAAGTCTATTGGGATCTTTTTAGTCCTGTTCTTTTTTGAGTGTCCAGGAAAATGTCCCACTTAATTATAAGATTTTTCACTCAGTTTCTTATTGACAGTAATCTCTTTTATTTGCTCATAGGTCCAGGATACAGAGGCTGAAACTTTAACTGGTTTTTTGAATGGCATTCAGTGGATTCTTGAAGAAGTAGAATCTAAGCATGCAAGATGATCCTCCTTTTAGACCTTGGGAACTGAAAGAAAGCATTTGGAACTTGTTACTAAGGTCGTGATGTGGATATTTGCTCAAGTCAGCTCATTCTGCCCTGCCTTTTTGCAGGTAGGGTTTATATTGGACAGCTGTAGCTACTCTATTTTTTTAATATAATTTTTACTTTTTACCTTAATTACAAGAAAAAAGTTTCAGTGCTAGCGTTTGGCCCCAAAATGAACCTTTTAATATTTTAAAATAACTTATATATACATATATATATATATTTTTTAATATTAAATTCTGGAAAAACAAGTTTATGCCTCTCTCATTCTTTGTGGTTTCTCTTCTTTTCGTTTCAAAGATTGCTATAGTGGGGAATAGCAAATTTACTAAGCTTTCAATAGGTTATTTTCAAAGGTCCTTAACTGGTTATCAAAAAATAAGTTTCTATCTATTTTTAATAAATGTACTATTTAAAACTGAATATTCACTGGAATTTCATTTACTATTATGGCCATACAACTTCTGTTTCTTTTCTGAAACAGTAGGAATTAACTTTGTATCATATTCAATACTAATTCAGTGAAAATAACTGGAAATTCTTGCTCTTTTCAAATAACTCTGAAAGCTCATGAGATGCTAAAGCCAAATTTTATTCCTTACTCATAGAGGAAATATTCCAGAGACGCTCATGATCATATGACCTCCTATTCACTAATTGCTTGCACTTTGCAGAGGAAACATTACAGTCCTCCTATCTCATTGGAATTGAAGAATTTTTAAATTATAATTTAAAAAGCATAATATTCTTAGTGGTGCTGCACCCAAGATACAGCCTCCATCCTGTGAGCAGGTGCCGTTTCAAAGAAAGTAGCTGTCACATCTTGGGTGCACTTATCCAGAACTTAGCTTCAGCACTTGTATAGTTGGGGGCAGAGTGAGAAATGCCGACATTCTGCTCCTCCTAGGAAGGTTGCCCTCTGACTCAGAGAGAGAGTGCTGTTTCCTCGGCTGCCCCAGTCTAGAATGGAGTTTCTTCTTTCTGAGCTGGAGGAGGGAAGGAGGGGAGTGGGTCTTGGTTCAAATCCCACAGACTCTTACTGAGTTTTAGTATATATATATATTTGAATAAATGTTTCTTCATTTGCTGTATGCTCTTAGGACCATTTACAGAGATTTTAATGATTTTTTTTTGTAGTCCATTTTTGTCTTTATTTTATTTTATTTTTTAATGATTTTTAAAAAATTAATTTTCTCCAGTTTCTCTAGGGAGCCATTACATGGAACTCTTCATTCTGTTATGCCAAAAGTAGATCTACTCTCCCCTTTTTTTAATTATATGTAGTTATGTTACCTCATTCATTCCTGATGTTGGTAGTTTATGTCTTTTTTCTTCATGATCAGTCTGGCTAGAGTTTTATTGATTTTATTATTCTCAAGAACCAGCTTTAGGATTTATTGATTTATTCTATATTCTGTTTCATTGATTTATGCTCTAATCTCTATTTTTCTGCTTTTTAAATGTAAAAAAAAGTTTTTAATTTCATCTTCCCTTTTTTAGATTATTAAGGTACAGACTTAGGTCACTGATTCTATTTCTTTTTTTTTTTTTTTAACATCTTTATTGGAGTATAATTGCTTTACAATGGTGCGTTAGTTTCTGCTTTATAACAAAGTGAATCAGTCATACATAAACATATGTTCCCATATGTCTTCCCTCTTGCGTCTCCCTCCCTCCCACCCTCCCTATCCCACCCCTCCAGGCTGTCACAAAGCACCGAGCCAATATCCCTGTGCCATACAGCTGCTTCCCACTAGTTATTTACCTTACTACGTTTGTTAGTGTGTATATGTCCATGACTCTCTCTCGCCCTGTCACAGATCACCCTTCCCCTTCCCCATAACCTCAAGTCCGTTCTCTAGGAGGTCTGTGTCTTTATTCCTGCCTTACCCCTAGGTTCTTCATGACATTTTTTTTTCTTAAATTCCATATATATGTGTTAGCATAAGGTATTTGTCTTTTTCTTTCTGACTTACTTCACTCTGTATGACAGACTCTAGGTCTATCCACCTCATTACAAATAGCTCAATTTCGTTTCTTTTTATGGCTGAGTAATATTCCATTGTATATATGTGCCACATCTTCTTTATCCATTCATCCGTTGATGGGCACTTAGGTTGTTTCCATCTCCGGGCTATTGTAAATAGAGGTGCAATGAACATTTTGGTACATGACTCTTTTTTAATTATGGTTTTCTCAGGGTATATGCCCAGTAGTGGGATTGCTGGGTCATATGATAGTTCTATTTGTAGTTTTTTAAGGAACCTCCATACTGTTCTCCATAGTGGCTGAACCAATTCACATTCCCACCAGCAGTGCAAGAGTGTTCCCTTATCTCCACACCCTCTCCAGCATTTATTGTTTCTCGATTTTTTGATGATGGCCATTCTGACTGGTGTGAGATGATATCTCATTGTAGTTTTGATTTGCATTTCTCTAATGATAAATGATGTTGAGCATTCTTTCATGTGTTTGTTGGCAGTCTGTATATCTTCTTTGGAGAAATGTCTGTGTAGGTCTTCTGCCCATTTTTGGATTGGGTTGTTTGTTTTTTTGTTATTGAGCTGTATGAGCTGCTTATAAATTTTGGAGATTAATCCTTTGTCAGTTGCTTCATTTGCAAATATTTTCTCCCATTCTGAGGGTTGTCTTTTGGTCTTGTTTATGGTTCCCTTTGCTGTGCAAAAGCTTTGAAGTTTCATTAGGTCCCATTTGTTTATTTTTGTTTTTATTTGCATTTCTTTAGGAGATGGGTCATAAAGGAGCTTGCTGTGATTTATGTCCTAGAGTGTTCTGCCTATATTTTCCTCTAAGAGTTTGATAGTTTCTGGCCTTACATTTAGGTCTTTAATCCATTTTGAGCTTATTTTTGTGTATGGTGTTAGGGAGTGATATAATCTCATACTTTTACATGTAGCTGTCCAGTTTTCCCAGCAGCACTTATTGAAGAGGCTGTCCTTTCTCCACTGTACATTCCTGCCTCCTTTATCAAAGGTAAGGTGACCATATGTGCGTGGGTTTATCTCTGGGCTTTCTATCCTGTTCCATTGATCTATATTTCTGTTTTTGTGCCATTACCATACTGTCTTGATTACTGTAGCTTTGTAGTATAGTCTGAAGTCAGGGAGCCTGATTCCTCCAGCTCCGTTTTTCGTTCTCAAGATTGCTTTGGCTATTCGGGGTCTTTTGTGTTTCCATACAAATTGTGAAATTTTTTTGTTCTAGTTCTGTGAAAAATGCCCGTGGTAGTTTGATAGGGATTGCATTGAATCTGTAGATTGCTTTGGGTAGTAGAGTCATTTTCACAATGTTGATTCTTCCAATCCAAGAACATGGTATATCTCTCCATCTATTTGTATCATCTTTAATTTCTTTCATCAGTGTTTTATAATTTTCTTCATACAGGTCTTTTGTCTCCTTAGGTAGGTTTATTCCTAGATATTTTATTCTTTTTGTTGCAGTGGTAACTGGGAGTGTTTTCTTGATTTCATTTTCAGATTTTTCGTCATTAGTGTATAGGAATGCCAGAGATTTCTGTGCATTAATTTTGTATCCTGCTAATTTGCCAAATTCACTGATTAGCTCTAGTAGTTTTCTGGTAGCATCTTTAGGATTCTCTATGTATAGTATCATGTCATCTGCAAACAGTGTCAGCTTTCCTTCTTTTCCGATTTGGATTCCTTTTCTTCTCTGATTGCTGTGGCTAAAACTTACAAAACTATGTTGAATAAGAGTGGTGAGAGTGGGCAACCTTGTCTTGTTCCTGATCTTAGTGGAAATGCTTTCAGTTTTTCACCATTGAGGACGATGTTGGCTGTGGGTTTGTCATATATGGCCCTTATTATGTTGAGGAAAGTTCCCGTTGTGCCTACTTTCTGCAGGGTTTTTATCATAAATGGGTGTTGAATTTTGTCAAAAGCTTTCTCTGCATCTATTGAGATGATCATATGGTTTTTCTCCTTCAATTTGTTAATATGGTTTATCACATTGATTGATTTGCGTATATTGAAGAATCCTTGCATTCCTGGAATAAACCGCACTTGATCATGGTGTATGATCCTTTTAGTGCTGTTGGATTCTGTTTGCTCTCCTTCTCAAACTCTTCCAAAATATAGCAGAGGGAGGAACACTCCCAAACTCATTCTATGATGCCACCATCACCTTGATACCAAAACCAGACAAGGATGCCACAAAGAAAGAAAACTACAGGCCAATATCACTGATGAACATAGATGCAAAAATCCTCAACAAAATATTATTTATTTTTTGGCCACACCACGCAGCTTGTGATTTTTTTCTAATCTGTCTAGTTTCTTATATCCTTTCATTTTTAAAAAATTTAATCATACTTTTTAGTTCTAAAATTTTCACTGTTTTAGAGCTTGCCTTTTTCTGCTAAAACTCTATCTCTTCATTCATTCTGTCTTTTCCACTACATTCTTTAACATATTTAAATACTTTTTAATAATCATTTTTAACTAATTTCAACTTAGGTCATTTGTGAGCATACCATACCTCTATTAAGTATATTTTCTCTTGATTTGGGGCCCTATTTTTCCTATTTCTTTATATGTATCCTATTTTTAAAAAATATTTATTATAATTATTTTTTTATTTATTTTGGCTGTACCGGGTCTTAGTTGCGGCACGCGAGATCTTTAGTTGCGGCATGCAAACTTCTTAGTTGTGGTGTGCGAACTTTTAGCTGCGACATGCATGTGGGATCTAGTTCCCCAACCAGGGATTGAACCCGGATCTCCTGCATTGGGAGCACAGAGTCTTACCCACTGGACCACCAGGGAAATCTCTATATGTCTCCTGTTTTGAAAAATTATACAAAGGGAGTTTTTCCTTAAGAGAATAGTAGATTGTGAAGTAGATAATACTTTTTATTTTGTCTTTTGTTTTTCAGGCAAGTTCAGCCATCCTTTTTTTTTTCTTCATTCAGCTAGGTTGACTTGGAGCTGGACCATATCTTTATTTAACTTACTTCTTTTACAAATCAGATCATATCTCTTGTTTCCTTTTGTGCCAATCCCCAATATGTTATGCTACCACCAAGGAG